CACATTTTCAAATGTATATGGTGATAAATATTTGGGGTCAGATCGCCCTGCTCATCAGCATCTTGCTGTAGTGGATGTAAAGTGTGTGTTTAAACTCACTTTTATCAGGCTGGACAAAGACGCCTTCTATGCAGCGAGGCTTTTCATGGTAGAAGGCACAGTGTGGCTTCTGGCAGCCTGCCGGCTGCTTCTCCCAGTAACACGGGATCTCCTTCCGATTTTTCTGTTGTAATGAAGAACATTAACATGTAAACATGATGTGGTGTCCATGTGACGTGGTGAAACAACATGCATGAGGAGAAACGCTCCTCACTCTCAGAGGAGGCTCAGAGCCGCCCTCTGGTCATGAATGGCTCCTCCTAACACACTTTGTGACACCACTCTGGACTATGTAGCTTCACATTGTAGAAATCTGAAAGGAGTCAGGAGTGGAGATCCTGGTTTACTCTTCAAGACACACACAGCCTTGACTGGGCACAGCCTGACGGAGATGACTTCAGCTGTCTTCCATTTACATTTTGCTTACCGTTATTTCCATGTGGCGAAACTTGCAGACGGCACGAAAGCAGCGTCCTTCCTCCCAGAGGCTGCAGGTGGTCTCGCTGCCCATAGCTGCCTCGCAGTGTCTGAACGGACAGCTGTCTCCCTGCACAGACAAACAGTAAGCTTGGACTCTTCTTTCTGGTCACCAACACTTTCTAGCCCAATGTGTGCATGTAGCAGGCTTGTTTACTTTGCTGCAGGTAGAATAGTAAAAGAAGTAGCAGTCGTCTCCATGGCTGGTCATAGTAAAGCTGTAGTAAAGGAACGACCTCTAAACCCAGCAGCTGCTTCTCTTATGGGCCGACAGGAACCTCCCTGACAACACAGAGCAAACCACACATCACATCTCAGACCAAACCAGCACTCTGGATGCTTTTAATGTTTTAATGTATAATGAATAGGGCTGTTCGATAGAACGACATCTATCGTTTCATTTTACGCTATCGTTTGTTTCGTGGTGTCGCAAAATAAACTGTTTACAGCTGTTTTCATGTTCTGATGTCACTGTATTGGTTATATTAAAGTTCTCTTTCTCTTAGATTTAATATAACCACACTGCGGACGACAAGCGCCTGTTTTTATGCGTTGTCGTTAGCAACAACGACGGTAACAGCATTGCCTGTCCGTTTTTTTATTTTCCACATAAACCTTTCACAATAAAGCTCAAGATCCTGTTGAGACTTTTCAAAATAAACTGAATCACGTGAAAGATGCAGAGAGTTTACGGATGAGAAGTAAAAAAGAGCCGCCAGGTGCTAAAAAATAAACCTCAGACTCAAACGTTAGAGCAGGCTTTTCCCCGCAGCACGCCGTGTAATAAATACAAAGAAAATGGCGCCGTTACAACTTATGTCTAAAAATGTTTCATGCATCGGTTAAAACACTCGACTCCAGCTACATGACGCACAGCTGGAAACACTTCACACAAGTCGAGCTGCCCGAGAGTCACAGACTTTACAGAAAATGTTAAATTTCTGTAATTTATATCGTTATCGTTATAGATGTTTTATATCAGGAGATGAGACTTTGGTCATATCGCACAGCCCTACAAGGGAATATTTAAACGCTCAGTGTGAGTGTGTCCCAGGAACAACACAGGCACGCTGCGTCGCCCAAATGTCTACAAATGCTTTGGTTTTTGTAAACAAACAAAAGAAAAACAGACATTACTTGGATACTTTAACACAGAGCTGTGTATGAGCCAATGTGTGAGCGTTTCACCCATAACTGCAATACATTCAGGAGCAGCTGTGGATGAAAAGGCTCCACACACTGATACACAACAGCAGCAGTGATGACAATGGCCTAGTTTAATGTGGAAGCGCACACACACACACACACACACACACACACACACCGTGAGGACCAAACAGCAGCACTGGTCCTGCAGTCAAACTCGCTGACCTGAGGGTCGTTAGGCTGGACAATCAGTTACTGCTCATATTAACTCTACACCATCATACCGTCTTGTTTTCAGCAGCTCAAAGACGTTGCATCAAAGCGCAGGGCGAACCTCACAATACTGATGTGCTGCCATTTCTTCACCGCAGCCAGCACTGTAATTGTATCCGAATACTCGATTGAATAATCGATAAATTAATCGATTACTAAAACAATCGACAGCTGCAGCAGTAGTCTGAGTACAGCCAGAGCTACAAAATGACCTCCAGCAGGCCGCTGATGTGAAGGTCTCTGATCAAACAATCAGAAACGGACTTCATGAGGCTGGCCTGAGGCTTGTGGTTTGCCACTGACCTACGCTGCTGCAGTGGGTCCTGGGATCCTCCTGGTGCACGACAATAACCACAACATGTCCCTGTATATGTATTCAACACATATGTAAGACTGCTTTCTTCCATTTGTGCAACATCTCTAAAGTTAGAAATAT